CCATTTCATTTTAAGATATGCTGTTTCCTACATTTTTAATTCTACTAACACTTAATGTTTGCACATGTGTCTCTAATCTCAATGTATCTGATTATTAGTAGTCATTACAATTTTAAAAGTCCCACAGTCTTTCAAAAATTCAAACACTTCAGAATTTAAAAGTCTCTTGAAAAAGGCTCCCGGGACCTTGTTCAAATGAACTTATAGCAATGATGATGGCATGCACAATATCCATGCAAACTCAAGCAGACAAAAACCCCGCATAGAACTGTGTGGAAAAGGACAACAAGTCCCAATCTCAGCCGAGGAACTATTGAGCAGCTGATTACTCCTGGGTGTATACAATATTGAACTCAGTATAAGCCCTGTAAGACATAAAATTGAATGAGTTTTTAACCTTTAAAATAGATCTCCATTTCATTTTAGAATATATTGTTCCTTGTACAAAGACTCACTGTTTTTGTTACTGACACTGAGCTGTTGGCTCATGCATCTCCAATCTGTATGTACCTGATTATTACTACTCATAATCAGTTGCATTTGGATCCCTGGAGCCTGTGTATGTCTATAAAGTCATGGGGTAGATTTCAATGGTAATATTTATCACCTCTACTAAATAACACATTTTTAAAAATTTGTTGATTTGTGTGTGTGTGTGTGTGTGTGTGTGTGTGTGTGTATCATACAGAACATCCCAAACCATCTTATTCAACTATATACCCATTTCCCAGATGGCATGCTCCCATAGCCTCCCTCCCCACACTAGAGCCCTTATACTCTGATATCCCTGCTACTGTCTGCTATGTTGTCGGCACCCCCGCCATTCCCAGCTACTTATCCATCCGGTGAATCTAGTCAGCCTATCTAGAGGTCTTTCTTTTAGGAAGGTCAGCTGTTCCTCATCTAGCAGCAATCAGTTGTCAATATTCCTTTAGATAAGATTGGGGTGTGCTGTGCATTTTCCCAGTTCTATGCTGGGTTACTATCTGGGAGTCCTTTGGCCACCCTGGCCAACAACTCAAAAGAAGGTACCTTCTATCTGGCATTGTTGCTTGTTCTGTAGCCTTTGGCTATATATATGCACTCATAAAAAAAATTATATTGGCCCCCTTTAATCTTTGGGTATTCTTTCCTTTTGGGTGTTTAAGACCATACAGTTGGCCCAGATAAACCAATTTATTTTTACTCTTAATGTAGTTTGAGGATCTGTTCCTCAAGGGTCACATGCACTGGGGAGGAGTCCCTGGCTCCTTTCTTTTAGCAGTTCCATCTATGTGAAGATAACTCAAAGGTCCTACTCGACCATGGTTGGCTTCGCTTGGAAGCATGGAGGAAATGATTCCTCTGTGTTGACCCTCCTCTTTGTAGACTGGACACTGGTTCAAGTGCATCTCATGGGGTCCTTGGCCTCCTTGATCAAGAGGACAGGAGACCCACCACAATTACAGGACATTTTGAGAGATGCTCATAGTCCCCTTGGAACTAGTCGACCTAGGAGGACAAGGAGCAAAAAGTGTCCTTTATGTCCCCCTGACCAAATTATTATAGGCTTCAAAGTATGTCTGCTAAACATCCAAAAAGGTTAGTACCACCAGTCTGGAACTTTTAATTACTATGTGCCATGTAGATAAATCTTGAGCAGATACAAATTTTTCTCAGATAAACCTTACCTAGACATATATTTCTTGATCTGGTATGTATAATTTGTCAGTAGGTTGTTCGATTAATATGGTTACCTCTCATTTTTTAAAACTAGCAAGGTATTATTTACCTCTCGCATTGTCTCACATCTCCATCATGAGTTCCCCAATTAAGGTGCCCCCATTTTCCCCCTTTCTTCCTTAATAATACCCTTCTCCTATGGTCCTACCTCTCTTGAGTGCCTTCTTTCCTTTTATTGCCTAAGTTCCTTGTATACCCTTCCTTACACCCGCCCTTAAACTACCCAATTTTTATCCATATCTCCCTTATTAATGCCTGTTTCCTACTTTTCTTCTTTTTCAAGTTCTTTCTTTTCCTTTACTTCCCAGGTTCCTTTCTGTTATCCTGGTTCCTGTAGTTATGTCTGTATACATACTTACTTATAAGGTCTTGGTGTGAGGATCCACATATGAGAGAGAACATACGTTGATTGA